CAGCAAGCAGAGCTGTGGATCGGGCAGTAATAAAAGTGATTTCCATCCGCACATTGCACGTCTTTTTGAATGTTTTTAATGCACACCATAAAAGGCCATAAAACTGATGGAAGAAGCACAAGACAACAGCATCTAAATCTTAAACCTTCAGACACACGGTCATATCAGGTCAGAATGCCACATGAAAAAATGCAACACAATTCAAGCAATGCACAGCAGCTATTGCACTGTATGACGTGACAGACAACTAGTTTTGTCCAGTGTGGTTCTGTTTACACACCACTGATGCAGGTATGCATCTTGAAGATTTAAGGGAGTCACTTTGTTTATAGAATGCATTGAATGCGTGTGAATGTAACCTTATCTGGCACTCTGAAACAGCACTGAGACCTGTATGTCCTGCTGCACACAGTAACGGCCACACACCTCCTGACCTACACAGAGCTGAGCCTTCAACAGCCCCACAAGCCTCTTCACCACAAACCACTCCATCAGTGAGAAAGAGAGCGAGGGAGATGGGAAAACCTCCCAATGTCACCCAGAGTGATTTGTTATGTGCTGGAGGAGAGAGTGTGAGAGTAGATGAAATGATTATACAGTGGCAGGAATGGAAGGAGAGATGGTGTGTGTGCGTGTGTGTGTGTTGAGGAGAGCTTTCGGACAGTCTGCAGATAAAAGTCTTAATTTTAACACACTGCGGGCTGGGGCAAAGTGACACCGCAGAGAAAAAACATATCTCTAGATATTTTTTCAGCCTTTTGACAATGTGTAAATCTATCTTGTCATGATAGGTGATGTTTCTGCATTTGCTCTGAAATGGCTTAAAAAATTATTCTCACTTGACTTAAAAACACTTTTCACTATAGGGATAGGAGGAATGATATTTAATTATAATGACACCTAACAATAAAAAGTAATAAACAGCAATGTAGAATGTACACAACTGTTTTAAAGTCTCTTAAACTCATAAATGGTGCATTTATTTGATTTAAAAAATTGTGTAAAAACAGAAACACAGCGAAATATTAGTTCAATTTAAAATATTTTTTTTATTTGCATATATTTAAAATATAATTTAATCCTGTGATCAAAGCTGGATTTTCAGCATCATTACTCCAGTCTTCAGTGTCACATGATCCTCCAGAAATCATTCTGATATGATGATCTGCTGATCAAGAAACATTTCTAAATATTAATGTAAAATATTACATTAACGCTTAACATCATTAGCATTAGCAATTATTTTAAATACTACAACATGAAACCTGATGTGGGGATATCAGTGAATATTTGATATTTGAAATGAATTCATTGAAACAGACAACCTAAACTGATTTGAGAAAATGAGTCAGTTACAGTTTTTGTGTTACTCCAATCAAATGTGATACACATAAGACAAGGAACTTATTAATGACACAGTTCTAAATAAATTATGATTATTTCTCAGTCCTAATGTGGGATGAGTCCACATACTTTTCGATTTCAAATGTTTTTTAATCATTTCTGCTTTAGTTAAATTGCTCATCTTTGTTTTAGTAATCCTGTTTTTCAGTTGTTACAATACAGAAACATCACTGAAGACTGATTCCCTTGAAAGATCTTGAAAGATCAGGAAGACTAAGAGGAAGTAAGAGAACTGAGAGATGATAGGGGGGCGAAAAAGGAGGATGCATTTTATTTTCAAACTGGAAGATGTCTCTCTGAACGTTATTTCTGTGATAAAAATCAGTCCACTGACCACAGTTTAGATCGTAACTTCTTTCACAGCCCTACTCTTTAGTCACAATTATTTATGAATAAAAAGGTAACATTATTTTATCGTTATGGCTAGTAACTAACATCACATTCTATAACATCTATACTGTTTTCCCTCTTTAAAATGTGTTTGGTAAGAGAAAGAAAGTTTACTGTAAGAATTGTAAAAACAGGCCATGATAATATCTGCAATAATCAGCCTAACCAGACCAATGGCAATAAATTAAATGGTCCAATACTGATATAGTCATGATATCACTAAAAATAGCTTCCTAAAAAGCATTCATTAAAACGCTCCCTAATTATCTCCTGCACAAACATCAACAGAATAAACATCACAAACACAGTAGAGTACAGTAGTGATCGTGTCTATCTCAGACATGCACGAACTGCCACATAAAAGGCCTCAACTGCAATTACACAAATCCTGACCTGCCTTTGGACACACACTCTCATATCTCCACTAACCTACTGCTCATTTCCTGTGCCCCCTCGCTCCGTCTCTGTAAACGGATGTGAGTGTGTGTGTGTGTGTGTGTGTGTGTGTGTGTGCGTGCGTGTCTGTGTGTGTGTGTGTGTGTGTGCGCGCGTGTGTGTGTGTGTGCGTGTCTGTGTGTGTGTGTGTGTGTGTGCGTGCGTGCGTGTGTGTGAGTTTAATCTTGCCTTGACGTCTTATGTTTCTCGAGTCTCTGCAATTTTCCCTCAGCTTTCATCTCCATGTTCACTACAGTCAGATAATTTCCAAAAAGGGTTACACACTTCTGATGTCTCGCACACACACACATCTGAACAGCTCTCAGATCAGAGGCTTGTGCTCTAACTGCTGCTGCAGATGCAGTGCCACTCACCAGCCTCCTTCTCCGATGGTGGACATGTGTCAGTCACGCTCGTTTCTACCCTGCCCTGCATCCTCAGCGTTAAAAACATTGGTTTCTACTTGTTTGGGAGACTTTTTGCAATGAGCCAAACCACCTTTGTAAAATAATAACCTTTTGCCAAATACATTCTATTCATTTCAGGGAAAGTTTCAAACTCATTTGCTATAACTAAAAAACAGTCACTGACTGCTCTACAATAAAATAAGCCAATGTTAGTTTTTATGCTGTGGTTGATAAAAGATAATATAACTGACAGTAAACCAATACCGTTTTTTGCCGTTTAAAAAAATGTAACATTTAACAGCATTTAAAGGAACACTCCACTATTTTTGAAAATAGGCTCATTTTCCAACTCCCGTAGAGTTTACCGTTTTCGCAATGATATTATGCAGTGCCTGAAAATAGTCCCAGCTGGGTAACTTCCAATAAGACTATTTTCAGGCGCTGCGTAATATCATTGCGCCTGCTGCACCCATGGTACGGCAGCAAAGTTCCTTGATTATTACGCCGGAATGAGAGTATAGTTCCTAGCCATATCGGCCTAGAAAATCGCAACTTTTCATTTTCCGTCGGTCTAGTACACGATGTAACTACAGAAGAGTCACGTTTTAAATAGGAAAAATATAGAAACTCTTTGGTCATTTTTGAGCGAGATGCTAACGGTCTAATCAGATTCAATGATCTATGCTAAGCTACAGCTAAAAGTGCTACCGCCAGACCCGGAGATCGGCTGAATGGATTAGAAAACGGTAAAACTCAACTGTTTAACTCTAGGGGAGTTGGAAAATGAGCCTATTTTCAAAAATAGTGGAGTGTTCCTTTAACAGAGAATCAGAAAGAAATAATCTATGAAATTAGGCATAAAAACATTCAAATTTACTGGAAGAGAAAGTGTACACATACATGCATACCTTCCTTTCTATTTTTTGGTATTGAACATAAAAAAAATCCAGTAAGAGAAGGATCTAATTAGGAAAAGAAGAGAGGCATTTTGGATTTTTTATTTTAAAAGTTTGTTCCCTATTGGGATGAATGAAGAGCTTGTTTTAAAATAATTTTTATAAGATCATTTCCATAATGATTTTGCATATAGGTGTGCATTGTATTCGTTAATTAAAATTTTTTTTTGCATAAATGTTTTGAATTGAGTATCACTATACGTCTGTTTGTTGACTATACCTGTATATGTATTTGGAAAAATATGTGGCTATTTGTTTGATGAATTTTGTGATTGGTGGATGATATATTATCCAATATTTTCATTGGTTGCTTGCAAGTTTGAATTTTGTCCTTGTTTGCATTTAAAGAAGCCTATGTACACCTGCAATCTTTTAGCCCTGACGAAGGCCTGTGTGCCGAAACGCGTTGGCAAAATAAAATTCCCTTTTCAATTACATTCTTTGTTTGCTCTGAACCCTTAACCTCACAAGTGTCGCTGGTATTGAATCAGTAACTACGTTTACATGGACATCAGTAATCTAATTATTTACCTTATTCTAAATAAGCCAATATTATGATTATGGCGTTTACATGAGTTGCTTTTAGAATATTCCTTTCATGTTCCCATTTTACATGTTATAGTACATGCATCTTTCTTGAGCAGATGACAAACTGAGGCCACATTAACCTCTGGTAACATCTCTATCAGCTGATCACAAGTGGACAACACTAAACACAGCACAGGTGGAAACATGCTCCAATAAGTCTTAGAAGCGCACTGTGATCCGATCACCCACACCACATTCATAGGTGGTCAGAAACGGACACGTTTGCTGGGGAAAAAATTGACACATTTGACTAAATTTGAAGCTCTAAACTCTTTTGTTCTGAAAAGGCTTGTAGTGCCAGATTAGTTTGTAGATAAATATAAATTGCGATGAACAAAAACCCATAAACCCATCAAAAATTAAATTACATTTTTATAACGGATTTATTCATTTAATTTAATGGATGGATGTGAAGGAAAAATAGCCAGCAGTGCACATGGGATTGGATCTCTTTCAATTGTTCAAAAGCTTCAGAATACAGCAAGTTTATTAGTTTAACATTTTTTGTCATTTTATATAATTTCTAAACTTGCATTTGATCATGTTGATGACTAAATCAACAAAATAAAAAATCAGCAATAAACACTAAATAAGTGTGTCCAAACCTTTAACCGGTATTGTAAACATGCACAGAATCTGTCACACATGTTCATCATACCAGGTGTAAATGTCTCTAAATGTCCTCTGGAAATCACTTTAGATCACATTCACCTCTGTGTGACGTTTAAAACATCCAAACCCATATGCCTTGCTATCCTGCCGTTTACTTGACAGTACAGCATGAATCACAGCGTGAATCCCTTCTCATGATCAACAACAATCACTCATGACTTCTTTCTCTAGAGGTCTGAAAGAGCAGAAGTGAAGGAGAACGAGCAGAAAGTGTGCAGTACCCCGGCTCAGAGTGAAGCAGAAGAGTGGAGGGGTCACAGTCCCAGTGCAGAGTCCTGTTAGTGTCACAGCCACGAGACAGGGTTACACACACACACAGAGAGATACAGCAAGACAGAGAGGCGGTTATATAAAAGGTGGTTAAAACAGTGTTACAGTTCTTCAGAGCAGTTAGAGACCAGAAGAAAAGCCTCTATACTGACAGACACGAGACGAACACAACACAGTCAGAAGCAGAACCAGATGTCCATGTGGTGCTCTGTTTCTAAAGGAAATCATCTGCTCTGATGTCCTCCAGTACAGGGCCAGACATAATCCCCTGATCACAGCTGCTTGAGAAAACCACACATACTTTAAATGACACCATAACTCAAATAAGAGAATTTGAAGTAAATACTAGAAGTGACATGGAAAGCCTGCTTTATATATCAACAACAGATACAGTGTTGCGTATTGTTTAGTCACTAAATTGCTGAAATGTTCGGGCAAAAAGCTGTCTAAGTAAGCTATACACAGCAGTTAAAAAAGCGGGCCACTGAGCTACAGTTACAACACGTGTAAATGTAGGGTTTTGTCACAATTGGTTAGTTTTAGGTGTCTGAGACCTCTCTAAAGTGAACCAAGCTCATACCAACTTGAATACAGTTCATTTTAAAATAAGCATTAAATGACATTCGCAACCTTTTTCCCTTTTGGGTCAAACAGGGTGTTCAAGAAAAAATAACAAAAGAAAAATAGATGGCTGGACTTCATTGGGAATTTGAAGGTATAAACATTTAAGTCTAGTAAGAGTGCATCAGCCAAAAGGGGTTTTTAAGAATTCTTATTTTATTTTATTTTTTTTTAAGTTCAAAACACAAATTTCAAAAATTTGTAACACTCTATATTTATAAAAATTCTTCTCAATTTTGCAAATGAAGCTGGTGTGTAATACTAGCTGAGCACCAATGTGCGGTCTGTTTCTCAAGACACTGATATCCAGTTTGCTGTCTTCGATGAAATAGCCTTCATCTCTGGAAAGAACAACAGACTGATGTTTATTTTTTTAAGTTCAAAACACAAATTTCAAAAATTTGTAACACACTCTATATTTATAAAAATTCTTCTCAATTTTGCAAATGAAGCTGGTGTGTAATACTAGCTGAGCACCAATGTGCGGTCTGTTTCTCAAGACACTGATATCCAGTTTGCTGTCTTCGATGAAATAGCCTTCATCTCTGGAAAGAACAACAGACTGATGCATTTCTGGAGAAATATGTTTCTTTTTCACCATTTCTGATAGAAAAAGACATTGGATTGTGATTTCCACACTTCATTAACCCTCATGTTGTGTTCTGGTCGTTTTGACCCAGAGAGGATTTTCTTTCCCCCGAAAATACTAGTTAATGTTATTGCACTGGGCTGAAACATATACTGACTTCTCTCACACAGGACATAACTTCCCCCCAAAAAACTGATAATTGAACATTTTTTAATTGTTCAGGAAAAAATGACGAGCCTACCAAACGTTTCTTATAAATATCTTGTTATACTATATTGTATGCATATTCAATAATTTGAGTGCATAAGCTCAGATCAATGAGGCCTATGACCAATCAGTTCCAAAAAGAAATACAAATCCTGTGCTAACTGAAAGAAAACAAGTTCACAAAAAGACAGAATCCAAAATGTTGTTGTTGATAATATAGCATAATGAGAGATTTACAAGCAATTTTTATCAGCACAACCATTTAAAACTGTTCTAATAAGAAAGGTCCCATCAACTTTAGTACTCTAAGGCCTGGTTTCACAAACAGGGCTTAGACTAAACCAGGATTAGGCCATAGATCAATTAGGCCATTTAAGTAATTTTTATAAACGTGTCTTAGAAAAAAACATTACTGGTGTGCATTTTGAGACAAAATAAAGGCACTGGTATATTTTAAGATCAATTAAAGCAAGTTTCTTTCAGTTGAAACAGCTCAGACTTAGATTTTAGTCTGGGATTAGGCTTAAGCCTTGTCTGTGAAACCGGGGGTATACCTTTCTCAATAGCTCAAATACTAATAATAATAACAAACACCAAGCGAAAACTGCTGAAACAAAGCAATCTAGTTTCAAAGCCAAATGCATCATTAAAATATTTTCAGTCTTCTCATTCTACGGAGTAGAATGTTTATCTACAAAATAAAATGAAATTTATTTTCAATATGAATAAAAGACGACTGCTGGCGTATATTAAAACAGCAATGAGATCCTTACAGACCATGACACTAAACCGCCCCACATCAGCGGAAGCACAAGCAGAGGCTGTGTGTGGTCATGTGGGAGTGTGACTGTGATGAGGGAGAATGTGTGTGTGTGTGTGCAGCTGGTAACATGACCTGTGTGTGTGTGTAGGAAGTGATGAAGCGGTGCGGGATATGAGTGGACACGGAGCCCCGGGGGCATCTGTGAGTGTGTGTGTGTGAGTTTCTGCTGTAATCAATCGTTAAACACTCCCTACAGCAAGCTCCCACAGGTCTTATCATGAGCTAAAACTCACTCCTATTCTATAAGCTTTCTATATTCATATTGTTT